ACTGTCAAAATAGAAAGACCTTGAAATAGAAATCTCAAAAATGTGGCACATGGAACATCAACAATCCCTGTTGTAGTTAGAGCCCTAGGAATGGTTGGAAAAGCCAACCGCCCAGATATTGTTATTAAAGACCACAAACAAAAAAAAGTGTCTCCTTATTGATATGAGAGTCCCTACTGCCTGTAATGTATATTTGAAGATATTAAAAAAGCTGTCAAAATACAAGGATCTTGAAATAGAAATCTCGAAAATGTGGCATATGGGAACATCAACAATCCCTGTTGTAGTTGGAGCCCTAGGACTGGCTGGAAAAGATTGCAGTAGACTAACTGAAGGGATTCCTGGAAGTCCATCCCTCAAGGAGATACAAAAAATTGTTCTGACAAGTACAGCCCACTTTTACGAAGGGCTTTGTCTATGTCATTTTTTTTTTTTTTTTTTTTTTGTCAGTGGAAAGTGTCATGATGCCATTTCTAACCTTAGGTCCCTGGGCGGGACCCGGAAAGAAATGTATAAACGCCAGAAATCAAAGGAAATAAAAATAATAATATTTTTATATTTGTATGTAATTTTTAAATATAACTTGTGCGGCTGCAATATTTTTAAAGAGTGTTTTTTTTTGTTTTTATCGCGCTCTTCTCTAAATGCTGTAACATATTGGAAGAGATAACAATTAACTACCTGTGGACATTGCGCAGTTTTCCTAATTGAATTATCAGATGAATCCTAATTTTTATACTGATGATTGAATAAGCCCTTTGCTACGACTGTAAAATGCCTTTCATATTTCTTTTACTGCATCGTTAAATACTTGAGCTTAATAACTTTATGCAAACCTTGCAATAACAATCAGAATGGAGGGCATTATATTAAAAAAGTAAGTGGGTAGAAATTAAAAACTTTAAAATTGATAATTTTTTCCATTTCCCTGAAACATGCTTTAAACATATGAAAGCGTTATTACCAACTCTTTATTTATTTATTTCATTCTTTATTTATTTATTTCAATCTTTATTTCTTTATTTCTTTTCCTAAAATCAAACAGCTTTTCTTTTCTGTTTTTTCTTGAGTCTTTCTTCAAAACGGAATGGTGAATTATTTATCCGAATTAATGGCAGGGTGCAATGCGTGTACTTAACTTAATAGTTAACGGTGTAACATGGATAATTATCATAAGATAATAAAAAAATACCAGGACCTTGACCGGGAGAAGAAAAATGTGCAAGAATTGGAGTTGAACCTATTTTAATTGATGCACTTGGAAACGTGCCGAAAAGTCGAAGAGATATGAATAAGTAATTCGATGAACAATTGAAACTGTATAGTCTACATCATTTCTCGAGTTTGCTAGAGTGAGTACTGAGAAAGGTGTTGAAGATTTCAAGAGATTTGTATTTCAGTTTTCAGCAATAACCACCAGACATCCAGGTTGGGTTGGATTGGTTAAAGTAACGACATGTCGGCTCTTGTTGAGATATTTAATGTCGAAATCTTTTTTCTTTCTTTATTGTATTTGAGTCTATAAGCATTTACTTGACAGGTGTCTCTTTTTGATGGAGACTTAGCTCCCTACGGAGAATGCTGTCGGTTTGTTTTAGGTCCCGCTGTTATAACATTAGATATTCGGTGTGAACATATAAGTGCATGAAATGACCAATGGTAAATGCACAAATCAGAATCCGTCTTCGAGAGTAAACAGATTCAAATTATCTGAGAGCTTGAGACCCAAACATATTCCGAATTCAGAGTCAGAATACAACATTTGGTCATCAGAAATAAGAAGATAAAATAAGTGTTAAATCGTGGGTTCCGCTGTTCCTGACGATGACAGAGTGAAAAAGAAGAAATCAAGAAATTGGATAAGCAGTAGAAATGACAGTA